TTTTACATATATATGTATATATAAAAAAATTAAAATAAAATGAAATTATGTAACAGTAATTAAATCTAATACAATATCGTTCATGAAGATCTTAAAAAAATAGCACTTTCAATTATAGTCGATCGGAGTGCCATCTATGAAGATTGTGTTTTTATCTGTCAAGCGTATTTTGTAAAGCATCATATATAAAATCAACGATTTAAATTATTCATAATGCCAATTTTAGATAAACGTAAAGGAGATGATATTTTAGCATTAGTTCCTGCCTCAAAAAGGACTAAAAATGAGGTGGTCTTCAGTAGTAGAGAAAAAGCAGTCGTACAAAATGTAAGCTAAACTAACCTTACATTTCTTGTACTTGGAAAATTTTTATAACAGAAATTTATGTTGTTATTTTATAGGGACCACCTAGAACATCATCTTTATTTGCATCTATTATGCTCCTTGAAGGACATCAAGGAGATATATTTTCTCTTGAATTTCATCCTGAGGGTCAATATCTTGCTTCAACAGGCTTTGATAGACAGATTTGTATGTTATCAGTAATTTTAGAATTTTTAATATATTCAATATATTTTATGATAATAATACATATGATACAAATTTTCAGTTATTTGGAATGTATATGGAGAATGTGAAAATATCTCTGTAATGTCAGGACATAGTGGAGCAATTATGGAATTACACTTTAGCCCTGATGGCAATCATTTATACACAGCCAGTACAGATATGACATTAGGTTTATGGGACATAGTTGTTGGAACTAGGATAAAAAAACTCAAAGGTCATACCTCATTTGTAAATTCTATCTCTGGAGCAAGGAGAGGTCTTACACAACTTTGTTCTGCTAGTGATGATAGCACAATACGTGTTTGGGATCCCAGAAAAAGAGGACAGTGTTACACTCTAAATAATACATATCAGGTAGTAGTGTTTCCTTAATAACTTCAAAATTTTTGAATTTTGATATTTATGAAGTTCTTTTTTTATTAACTTAGGTTACTGCTGTAACATTTAATGACACAGCAGAACAAGTTATTAGTGGGGGAATAGATAATGATATAAAAGTATGGGATTTAAGAAAAAATTCTATTCTCTATAAACTTAAAGGACACTCTGATACTATAACTGGATTAAGTCTTAGTCCAGATGGCTCTTATATTCTTTCTAATGCTATGGATAACACATTAAGAATTTGGGATGTCAGACCATTTGCCCCCTATGAACGGTGTGTCAAAATTCTTTCTGGACATCAACATAACTTTGAAAAGGTATGTTTCTGAATTTTTAATACATATGTTGTTAAAACTTTATAATCTTATTTACTTAAATAATTCCAGAATCTTCTGAGATGTGCATGGTCACCAGATGGTAGTAAAGTATCAGCTGGATCATCAGATAGATTTCACTATATTTGGGACACTACAAGTCGTAGGATATTATATAAATTGCCTGGTCACAATGGTTCTGTTAATGATATTGACTTCCATCCAAAAGAACCAATTGGTAATATATATACAGTAAAGATATATACAGTACATATATACAGTAAAGATTCTATAAGAGTTCGTTGGAACCGAATCATACCGTATTTGGTCTCATTTTAATCAGAAAAGTATCGTGGATATGTTAGTAAAAATTTTATCAACAAAACACAAAAAATAAAAAAGTTTCTCTTTTGTATTAGTGTTGTCTCACTGATATGTAGGTATTTAATATTTTAGGACTGCCTCGACTTTCGATACCTCTCTCTTCTTTGTCCGCTGTCTCTTTCTGCGTCCGTCGGTGTTGGTAAAATACAAACAGTTTGAAGAATCTAGTACCTATCCTGTGACTGTTCCACAGCGGTCCCGAATTTCGAACTCTTATCGAATCTTTACTGTATATCTATACAAAAATAACAAATTTTGAATCTTTAACTTACACTAATAAGTGGAATATATTTCTTGTTTTTAGTTTGTTCAGGATCCAGTGACAAGCAAATATATTTAGGGGAAATTGAACCTACACAATAAGTGAATTAGAATTATGTTTTCAATAATTTTTATATTTAAAGACTTGTACAAAATAAAATGTATAATACTGAATTAACATTTAGGTAAAAATGTTAATTTTCTTGTGGAGATTAATTATTTTATATCCTTCAATATTCCAATTTCCTTGTCAATAAAAAAAAATTGTATAAAAAAATATTGGTCATATATATTTTCTATTTGATATACAACTTAGATTACATAGATTTATCATACTTTTGTCATAGTTACAATCATCCATTTAAAGCGCGCTTATCGATCCACTCCTAGCTAGTTTGACATTGATTCAACTTCACGTGATATACTTTAGTATACTGGCGTTTCTACCTTTATTCGTTTATTTGTTATTGTCTTCCAAATTTTCTATTTATTCTACTTTTAAGGTACGTATTCTTTTTCTGCCTTTCTTTAATGAGAAATATTACATTAAAACATTCGAAATCATCTTGTAATATTATTTACTTGAATTTGGTGCATTGCAAAATATAACAAAATAAACTTGTATGCAATATTTGGCTCCAGAAATATTAGATTGTACAAATAAAATAGTTTTTAAATTTATTTCAATATTAAAATTTAATATTTATCCACTTTACATCGATTTAATTATTTATTTTGTATAACTTAACCCTTGTTTTTGTTATATGTGATATAAGAAAATTCTGTGAAATATCCTATAATATTATTTTTAGATTTGTAAGTTAATTTATTGTTATAAAAATGGCAACTCCATGGGCAAAAATCCAACCTGTAGAAGGACCAGTTAGTTTATTGGAAATAACTTCAGAACAACTTGCAATGAGTTTGCAAGAAAAGTAAGTAATATATAATTTCTCAAGTTTTTATTATGTTTAACTAAGAAAAATAAAAAAATATTCTCTTTTATTACTAGAGAACTAAAGCAGTGTCAGAATGAAACAATGGATGATGTAAATATTAAAGACTGTGCACTATATGAATCTAATGATACAGATAACGATGAAGTGATTGCACATATGTTACAAGATCAATTTAACAAAGAATATAACTTAATGCTGAAACGTACAGAGGAAAAATTCAATCGTGATGCTAAAGGTAAGAAATACTATTGATCATTCATATTTTAAATCATATAAGCTTTTTATTCTTTATAGTAAATATAACTTATACAAACTATCGAACTTCTCTGTCTGATGACCAGGATGATAAAGACACAGACATTGAAGACACAACCAGGGATTTTGATAGATTTGTGGTAAATATTTTGTACTGCTACACATAAAATTTTTTATTTGAAAATTTAATATTTGATATATATTTAATATTCTACAGAGTATAGAAAAACAATATGCTTCTATACCACGTTGTGGATATAAAAAAATGGGTGGCGAAGGATCTCAGATCATTACAAAACATGATATGTTAATGTCTTCAAGAATAAATGCCTGCAGAGTTTTACAATTTCCACCAGGTATTCATACAGGAGACACAGGAGGGTTTGATGTCAAACTAAACAATAAAGTGTTCAACAGCTTAAGAGCACACAGTCATGCTCAGTGTTCCAGACAAAAAGCAAAAGCACGACCACATACAAAATAAAACAATAAAATATCTTGTAATTGTAAATATATTGCAGTAATGTCCTTCAATTTGATTTTTCAAAATTATTCAGTATACGGTATTAAAACAATTATGTTTAACAGTAAATACTTTGTTAAATATCATAAAATTAGCATTACTATATTGTGATACAAAGGTACAAAAATAAATACATTTGTATTGTATTGTTTCAGTTTATTTTAATATGTGTTGTCATACAAAATTGTCACATCATTTCTATACAGTTTTCCTGCTTTAAATAGAACAAACTTCGTTATCATGTTGTATTCTTGTTACCAAAATTACTCTTTTACCAACAGTGTATAATCAAAGAATCGTTATAATATAAAAAAAAAAGACGATTTTTTATTGTTTTACAAAAATTTTTTTTCACATATTACACATATTAACATTTAATTATTAAATTTGATTGTTGTCCCGAATGGCCTTAGTGGCTAATCGAGATGAAACTTGGTGGGTGTTATGAGGATTGTGAAGGGACCCCACATATAAAATTTCAGCTTTAGCAATTCATCTATTGGGAAGATACGAGTTCTCATGTATAAGGTATTTTCTATGCTATTTGCTTGCTAATTATACACTTTATGTACTTAATTACTCTTTGAATGGACTCAGAATCAACATCGAATTGCTATGATATAATTATGATCGGTTTGTATGCTTTAAATATTGTAATGGACTACTATTCGCTTCGCGAAGTGTCTGGAAGCATCTAGCGTTGAAATTGTAATTCGAAGCGTCTAAAATTAAACAAAATCGCATCAGACACATGCACACATATAGAAAAGAGTTAGGTTATGTTAGAACATGGTTTACGTCAGAACCTATATCTTCCGAATGGGTGAATGCCTAAAGCTAAGATTTTATATTTGGAGTCTTTCCACATCCCTCATAACACCCACTAAGTTTTATTTCAATCGGTCACTGAAGTCATGCGGAACGATATTCATAAACTTTTATCGTTTATTCTTATCTTCTCGTTCGGATTTATTTTGCGATGATGATGGAACTTGTTCTTTTCTGCAAACAAAATTGGAAAAACTAACAAATGAACAGTTAATGAAATTTTTCACTTATATCATATTGGCTATCTTACATTTCGATAGGAAGTGATTCATTCAACTTCTTATCTATTAATTTCTGTCTCGCTTCATTTTCCTTCAAACTTTCTTTCATAAGCAAATTATATATTTGTCTAGTATTTAACCGGGAAGATGGATCGACAGCAGTTTTTTCGATGGTAGTCTTTAAAGATTCAAATATATTTTCCGTTTCTTCTTGTTTAGAAATTCGAGTAGCATTATCTGGAGTTTTTCCTAGTTGAAGTGTTCTTATGACTACAAAATATTAATCATTTTATTAATAAAACTTTTTCGTCATCAACTTGTTCAAAATCTACAATGCATTGTACCAGGTAAATCAATGTCTCTGTCTTTTTCCTCCGATAGTACACTCTCAAAGGAGTACCGCGGCGGATTCAAAATCTTCATTGTGTCTCTAGTTTCACCCAAAATCGCATCCGACATTTTTTCCTTAGTATGATCTGCGATGTTACTGATCGTTGTCTTCTGTGCTGGAACATTTTCCAACTCTATTCTGTCGTCAGTTCTAACCACGGGTCTTTCGGATGTGATACTTTCAAGATTTTCATTAAGTAACGAACGTTGGGGCGTGCGTCTATTTATCAGTCTACGGTACAGGGTAAGGGTACGCCGAACCGATGAATATAACCAATCATTTCTAAACAAGAAACATTTTTTACTAAGACGAAATTGTTCAGAGAGTGATTGACGATGATTAGTTACCTGTCGTGCAGGACTCCAAAAATTAAAAATAATGTGGCCACTGGAAATACCAGGTAAATAAACATTTTTAATATGTTTATAAATGGTGCTTCAGTGGATCATTTTGTCAATTGACTATAGTTCTCGACAAAAGACGATCGAGTAAGCCTACTAGATATCGTTGCGTGTATATAAAAAATAATGTAGGAAACTAAAAATTGTTATATTTTTCATCTTGTTCACCAGAAGATTTAATCGAAAAAAATCATTTAAATACCTAAGGCATTTATTGAAGTCACATTTATCATATTTAAATTTATTCACATTTAAAATTCACAATATTCACAAGTGAATAAACCTCTCTGAAATAACGTGTTCATAAACACATCGTTCCCGCTTTTTCTTCTTTTCTTCCTTTTTTTCCTTGATAAGACTAGACATGCTAGAAGATATGGTATTGCGTTTTTCACGTTTTTATGCAAAGTAATGAATATGTAAAGGCTCTAAATGTCTATAAAAACGATCCTCGTATAAATTATTTAATTTAGTCATTAGTTAAAGTAGCGGAACTATCTAAATATATTAAAAGTAACGAAATACTTTTTATACTATTATGTAGCCATTATATACTACGAAATCGAGTGTTTTGTAATTGAATTTCTACATCAATGACATCTTGCACAGTCTTAGTTGTTACATTTTGTCATACATTAAATTTCTTTTTTATGTGACTGTGAAGGTATTTGCAACGTATTTAGTTTAATTATTTGTTCCAAAAAAGCACTCAACTACACTTTATGCAGCAGATATGCTTGCATCTGATGCTTGGTATTGGTATAAAAATTATATTATAGTACAGTATAGTCAAATACACCGTATTTGATCCGAGTAAGTGAAGAGTTTGTTATTAGTAGCTAATGGTACTAAGAAATGCAATGAATTGTACAATAAAATGTTTACAAACGAAATATTTGTGTTCTGAAATGTGTTTATTTAAGCATTAAATGATAACAGAAAAGATAGCAATATTCAGCATCAGACACCAGCTGGTATTAAATGTTCGAGCATTCATGTATATACAGAAGAGTATCCAAAGGAAAATAAAGACGTATCAAAACTAGATCACAAAATGTGTATACAAAAGTTTACATTTAATGGTTAACAAATCTGATGCATTGCACAGATTGTTGTATTTCATTTTATCAAACGATTTATATATGCATGTGTATATTATGTGCATATTTATATATGTATAAATGCTATGAATTGCTCTTGAATATTTTATATTCTTTTATAGAACATTTAGAAGAAGCAATACAAATTCGTATTTTTGTTCGATTTCGTTCTTTTTTTTACAGAAAAAAACGTAGCATCAAAAGAAACAGCAATTCACGAACGTTTCAAGTAAACACCTTAAATGTGATAGATATTCGATTTTCAATATCCTAACGTTTATAAACCAATAATAACATACATACTAAACGATTTCCTTACAACCCACAAGTAAAGCAACAACAATTACTTCAACTTACAATGACAAGCGATCTTTTTCTTTTAAAGATAGACTTTAAAACATATATGATAACGTTTAATTTAGCCTTCGTACATAGAAGACTGAAAGACAACTCTTAATAAGAAAAGAAAGAAAAGAAAAAATATCCGCCGTTGCGTGTGCCTTCGTAAAATCGTGATATACAAAAAGAATCCGATTATTTTCTAAGAAGACTTTAGTCGTTTAACTTTTTTTCTCCCCTCTGATGCAGAAATTTGCATCGAGTATAATTTAATGTAATGAATAAATCTATTCCGCTCATTCATTGTATCTAATAGCATTTGTTTGATAAGTCTGATCAGAATTGAGACAGTAAAATGCAAAAGGAACCACACTTGCTAGAAATTTTTTTTATCGGTTATATTTAAAGTACAGATTTAAAACAATGCAACATTACAATAATATAGCTCTGCAATAATATAGCAATAATTTATAAAATTGTAAAGTATATATACATGTATATTAAATCTGTGCTTTAACTATAACATATTCACATTCTTGGTTTACCTATTATTTGATAAATTACTTACATTTCTTAGTCAGCTTATTAAAAGGATTTCTTTAAGCTAAAATGTATTAAGACAAATATAATAAATGTTTGGTGTACAGCTTTTGTGAAATCGTATTATATATAATATGTTCCTTTTTAGTTTCTACAACGAAATCTGTTCTTTTCTATTCAATGTGTACTTTAGTGAGCGTATAATTCACAGTACATGATAAATGTACTCGCAATTGATACGGTAGTTCTATGCAGAATATGCATTATAATTAAACGTTTTTTGATTTCTGTTTTTTTCCCCAATGTATTTTATATAAATCCATTGTAAAACTGCACACTCCTGGCACTGAACTACGTTTCACGTAAAATACTCGAAAGAATGCAGTACTGAAATATCAATAGAGGTTAATCATCTAAATCATTAATATGAAGAACTTCTCTGTGTGTTAATCCGGCATCCGATAATGTTAAGATTTCTCTACACGGATATAGAATTCTTTTCGGAAAACTGGTGGTTATTTCGAAACTTACTGGAGAATCCGGCTGACTAAATATCCAATGATACACATCCTAAACAATAAAATAATTTGTCATTATATTGAAATTGCATAATAAAAGAGAGTTAAGAACTAGGTAACTGACCTCTAACGTATCAGACATTAGGAAACGCCTTTTCATTGTCCTTTCACCCAGTTTAATTTGAAGATGACAAGCATTAGGATTACTAGGCTCTGGTTCATGAGGTACTTTACAAATAGTGAGTTCTTTCTCACGACGAATGCGTTGAATTTCCATTTCTTTTGCATTCAATTGTTCCTTTTTCTTAGCCTCTTGCTCTTCTCGTGCTCTTCGTTCCTCTTCTCTTCTACGATCTTTTTCTTGATCCGCACGTAACGATTCCTCGTATGCTTGATCTTGCTGTTGACGCAAAGATTGAGCAGCACTACGTTCCGCTCTGTATTGAAATGAATTGAATAACATTTAACCCAAATCAAATTAACATTGTAAATTAGACTCTCTTATATCCTTTTTACCTTTCTTGGCGAGCTCGTATTAAATTAATTTCGTTGTGACTTATAATTGTTTGCAAACGAGACATTAAGTCAGAGGGAGATGGCGTGCCTTCCATCCTACAATGTGAATGAATACATTTTTTAATTACATTAATTATAAGACAAAGCTACATATAAATTATTTAACATACCGGCCGACTATTGTCATTCTGTTGTCTTTCAAAACAATAACGGCTAGGAAAGGATAAGAACCAGATTTAAGAGCTTCTGCTACTTTGTAACCTTCACCTGATTGTACATTACATGCCCAAAATAAAGTGCGTGTGTTTATGTATCGAACAACTTCTAGATTACCTAATGTACCCCTGGATGTAAAAATTCAATTGCAATGATTTACTTTTATATAAATTTTATATCAAACAAGTGAACAAGTTGAAAGTGAATAATTGTACCTGCACCACTCATCAATATTTTGAGCTTCATCTTTATGTAGATATACCAACAAGAACCATAATTCTTGTTTTGCATCAGAAAGAGCTTGGCTGTATGAGCCTTGATAAAAAACAGGATGACTACTACCATAACGTTCTTCATAAGATCGAATGAAGCTGATCACATCTTCCACAGGATCAGAGGATACTTGAAATGAAATTAATATATTAACATCTGTTCTAAAATTGTTTTTTTTAAATCAACAGCATTAATAACTTACCAGGTCTAACATTTCTCCTAAATATTGAAAGAAGTAGCTGTAAGATACTGATCACCCTTTCGTAACATAGTGCAAAGATATACCATAGGTAACTACCCCTGCCACTGGAACTTCCAGAATAATGATAATATACTCTAGAACTACTATCATCAACAACTTGTGGTGGTCGTGATCTTGAATCTTGTGCATACATTGATGGCCTTCCTTCGTACAAATTTAATTGTTCCTAAATAAAAAGATGAGAACTTCTTACCCACAAAATAATCTAACATAAATGTACTTGTATCAGTAATTAAAAAGGCAATTAAAAAATATTAAAGTATTTAGATATACAAGATAAATACATGAACATATATATGTATATGTAATAGATTTTATATAAACAATAAAAATAAAGTATTTTGAACTTCAAGAGTTCTTTATGAATCCCTGAGATATTATTGTTACCTCTATTGCACAATTGACCTAAATATACTACACGAATATAGTTTTTTCAAAATCCTTGTAAAACAATTACATTTACTTCTTCATTTGTTCATGCAGTGTTACATTAATATAAGTTTGATTTTTACAATATTAATTAACATGCAAAGGGTAAACAGAAGGGAAAATCTACCTGAACTGCAACCTCCAAGTTCCAGTTATGCCTCTGCAAAACATCTCTACAGATTGACAGGTCTTCAATGCCAGTCAAATCCTAAAGCCAGCACAATAATATTACTCTATTATGCTTCGAAAAATTGAATTAAATATTGAATGATGCAGCATGTGAAACAGTGATTCACCTGAAACTGCAGGATCTTCTCAGTTTGATCACTGTTGAATCCGTTCAACTCGAAATCTGCCATATCAATATACTTTGTCGGCAAAAGACTAGAAACTCCTTGACGATCGTTTAGTTATTCAGTTCTATAGAACGATTCTGAATTCATCAGCTGATAGAAAAACCAGGCACTTGAGCAAAATTACGATCAAACTGCGCAAGCATTTGGAGCGTGATACCAAGTATGATTAACCTAACCTCAAGTATTCGCGGTCTCCAGTTTATGGACCTCCGTTCATTATTATCACGACACGTTTTGTCTCATCGCTTTGTTCTATACTCAATGTTGTCGGTGTCATGACTTTTTACGATAATTTACAGTTTCAAGGTTCTATTTCATGCGGCACGGTTTTAAGTGACGTCAGCTGCATGCATTGGTGAAACGACAGTCAACAGTCTTTCTTTATTGCCATTGGTAGAACGTTATTTCTGTTAGTAAGCAATAATGTGCACTTTAATTAATTAATACACGTTTTATATAAAAAAAATTCATAACAATTTTATGTAAACTCTGTATAAACAGATTTTTATCTTACAAGGCATTATTAGCAGACAAAATATGTATTAAAATTCAAGGAGGTACGTATGTAGTACGTATAAGTAAGTACAGAATTAACCAATGAAAAAATAGTACTCCATGGATACTGGACCTACAACTTCTTAAGAGTCATTTACCTTTGATTGTAAGATTGGTTATATCGTAGCACTGATGCTGTACGTGTTATGAAATATAGCAAATCAGTACGATGTGTTCTATTTCGTGATTTGTTATTCTGTTAGTTGAAATTTACATTGCACACCTGTTACTTTAAACATCAATTTGTGCGTAACTTTCACACGCTCGAATGAACGCGATGGCATCGAGTAATTGTATAGAGATTACAATTCAAAAGACATTAATTTCCATTATCGATATATCAATGAAAATGTAAGATCGGCGTAATAAAAGTTTATATATAGGGTGCGTCACGCAATTGGTATGGGTTATATCTCGAATTTGATAAGAGACAGAAAAAAACTGTTAAGGGAAAAATTGAATGGTATGGTAATGTCTATTTTCCTACGACTTCATTTTCTTCATAAGTGCAGCGATGCAAAACGATAAAAAACGACTTATCAAAAATCTGAGAAATCTCACGAAATATTGGTTTTTTAAACATTGTACCCTAATATTCGCGCAGAATTTTCCGAAGAGTTGATATGAATAAAAAAAAAATGCAATTCCATTAAAAATAACGTTCATTCCCAATTTTCGGATGCCTCGCTGCACTTATAAAAAAAAATGAAGTCGTAGGAAAATAAACATTACCATACCATTCAACTTTTACCTCAACAGTTTTTTTTATCTCTTACCAAATTCGAGGTACATATAATCCGTCCGTTACATGAGGCACCCTGTATATGAAAAATGAACTAAAACAACTTATTTCATTCCTCAGAAAGAACGAATTAGATATAATTAATGAATTGGTAAAAACGCATGGACAACTTCACACAGCAGTTATTGATGTGAATGAAGTATTAACTACTGTTGCCCAAAACATGAAGATAAATGTTAACAGTGTTTTGCAGAATGTTGATAACGAAAATGAATTGGAAGTTAACTTAAGGAATGTTTTGTCTGCTGCTGATTTCCAAGAGAAAATATTTGCATGTTTGAATAGAAAATAATGCCAATTTTTATTAACAATTATTCATTTTATATGAGAATCTTGAGGCTTTCACTGCCTTATGTGATACAATTTATTTATTTATTGTAAAATATATTAATAATCTTTTATATACAAAATATAAAAACAAGTAAAACATTTCTTGGGGGTTAATCATAATATTTATCAAGCTGGGAGCATCATTTACCTACGAATAAATTTATTATTAAATTTATTGTTAAAATTTTCATGTGTATAAAGTAAATAAGAAATGTAAATTATTTTTACCTGAAGGCACGATTTTAGTGCACGCTGTATATCCTGAACAGTAGTGCAAAAGTGTCCTTTACAACCAAACATTTCTAACATTCTTTCATAATGCGTTTCAGATGTTAAAGAATTTGGCGGTGTTCTAAAAATAAATACACAAATAATATTATCTATATCTGTGAATAAGCATGCAATAATAAAAAACTTACACTTGTGTTGCTTCTCCTGAAGCTTGTATTTGCCTGAACGTTTCACTATCTAACCCGCTATAAATACCATTATTATTTACAATGATAATAATAATAGGCAGCTTATACCTGAAACATTGAAAATTACCATAAAGATTATTTCTTTATTATTTCATTCGCTAAAAGCAATTACCTAAACATCGTTTCAATTTCCATGCCGGAAAATCCAAATGCACTGTCTCCTTCTACGCATAATACCCTTTTCGTGGGCGCATTGTTTTTACAATAAAGCGCAGCTGCTATAGCAAAGCCTAAGCCCACGCCCATAGTACCAAAGGTAGCGGCATCTAATCTATGACGGGGTTCGTTGTTCAATAAAATCGTTTTCCCAATATCCATTGTGTTAGCTCCTTCTGAGCAAATAATACAATCTATAAAAAGAATATTAATATATTTTATTATACATGTTTGTTCTATGACTTTAATTTATTTATACAAAAACAATTACTAACCAGAAGGAATGGTATCCTGAATATGTTTAAAAACAGTATAGTAATTTAAAGGTACCGAAGTATCCGCTGACATCCTCTAAAAAAATGTAGGAAAAAAAGGTAAATTATTTAATAAAAAAAATTTTAACATTTACATATAATACTTACTTGAATCATTGCTTTGTTTTTCTTCGATTTAACTACTAGATCTTTCCACCATGGGTTATTCTTTTCAATAGTCCATTTGCGTTCTTTCAAAATGGTAACAAGACCATCTACAGCTGTGGATATATCAGATTGAATGGCGACTGCAGAAGAAACAGAATTGTGCAACTCTTCTGGACAGAAGTCAATCTGAAATACCCAGATTAAATTTCTATTCCTGGATCATTACACAACTTTCACAAAAATTACAATACCTGTATCACTTTAACATCAGGCTGGAAACGTGGTGGTCGACCGAAATGTAACATCCAATTGAATCTGGCACCTAGTAACAAAATGACATCACTTTGTTGCAATGCATAAGTTCTTGCGCTGGAGACGCATCTTTCATCTGTATCTGGAACAACTCCTTTTCCCATTGGTGTCGGTAAGAAAGGAAGACCCGTCGAATATACCAGGCTACGGACTTCATTCTCAGCTCTGCCATAAGCAGCCCCTAAAATATAATTTTACAATTCTTATTGAAAGAATCTTCTGAAATGACCACTTACTGCTAATTACCTTTTCCTACAATCACTAATGGCTTTTTCGCACGCATGAGCAAACTAGCTGCTTGTTCAATTAATCGACGATCAGGAAATATCAATGGCGGTGGTGGACAGGGTGCAACCTTGTATATTTTTTCATGATTGACCGATTGAGTTAATAGCGTGGCTGGAAAATCCAAGTAAACGGCACCTAGAAATATTCATAATATAGAACCATGCAATACTTTGTGCTTCTATAACTAACCGTGTATAATAAACGTACCAGGTCGACCATAAGTAGAGAGTCGAACGGCCTTTTCCACGTGAAGCGGTATTAATGTTGCGGACGGTGGTCTAGCGGCGTATTTACAATAGGGCTTACAGGATTCTACCTGTGGCCATTCCTGAAAACCTCCAATACCCTCGTGGTCTTGAGCACACGATCCACCAATTACTATAACCGGCCTGCACAGAAATACGCACTGTCAGTGTTACAGAAAAAATAATTAATATTCGCTAATGGTTTTACACTTTTTAACATAGTTACTATATATGTATTTTCTTTAATAATATGGCACAATGAATGAGGACCGTGTTACATAATTGACTGTAATCGTTTTTCATACAAGATTACCATTTTTTTATGAAATAAAAGATGCGTGCATCTTGTCGGTGTATTAATTGTAATTCGAGAATACAATACAAGAACTTTAAACTATCGCAATAGGTTGCGTTAACGAATATCTCACGGTAAATGTATTAAATCTACACGTACTTTTTAATTTACAATTTGCACAACGGAGACATTGTTACATTATATGCTTACCAACAATTCACTTGAGCGTTCGCCATACCGCCTATAACATGAAGCAATCCCGGTCCAGATACACACAAAACTGCCGCTGGTTTTGCTAATTAAAAAAATTCAATTAATTACAATTAAATACAAGCGTAAGAAAGAATTGTTGGGCGTCATAATGAAAATTTTAATTAAATTCCTCCAATCATATGCTTGGCTTCGCGTGTAACGATTCCTTCCTACATTTTTATTAACGATTTGGATTTTTTTTTTCGCTTACTCGTTAGGTACCCATAAGCCTGCGCGGCATAGCAAGCGGCTTGCTCATTTCTAAATCCAAGGTACTGAAGACCCGCGATCTGCATGGACAGGGCCAGATCGATCACGGGATGTCCCATTATCCCAAAAACATATTCGACACCCTATGTAAAAAAAAATTGGGCGTAGTACTTTTTCAAAGTAAAAACGTAATGTACAATGCATGCATGTTATCAAGCTAACGCACGATTAACAGTCAGCCAGAAGGCGATAAAATATAAGGAAACTGAGTATACAATGAACAAGTTAATTGTATATTGTGCTTGTTTATCTATTTTTTTGTATTAAAAGCTAACAGGCATGATAAATCCTTTCTCCGGTAATAACTAGCTGAGTAGATTCAAATATCGAAACGAGTTCGAAGACAAACGTTCGAAAGTTTGCTGCACTACTTGTGCACGTAGTCATTATCAAGAAAGTTACTGCGTTGCAAAGGGAAAACAAATTTGTCTCTTGTGTATATTTCTAGAAACGAAAATGTCGAGTCTTTTTTACAACGTGTTAAAAATAACCATACATACTTTATTGTACAGCCATCGATTGGACAAGTGATTGGAATACGATTGAATAGGAAGATAATTAAAACGGAAACGACATGGATAAGGAACGAATTCCGCTTATATGGCAAAGAAAAAAACGTAAGTACTTACATGCCACTGACAATTCTACTGATTTGATACGAAATAAAAAAAATTATAAAGAAACATTAAAAAAAAAATTGTAGTAAACACTTTTTCTGATTGTTGATTATGCAGTTCATAATTCATACTACAGAGGGCAAGTTAGAAATATTTACGAAATTTCCAACTCTTTTTAACTTCCATTCATGATTCTCTTTTTCTTTATCTTCAAAATAAAATTAAAGAAAAAATATAGAGATGTAAGAATTTTTTCAACTTAAGTATTATGTTCTCTTTTTAAATTGTTCATTTAAAATTCAATTGAGCAGTAAGTTAATTGATTAGATGATTTCATTTGAAATGGAAAACAAAATGCTTTTTTCTTGTTTAATACCTTAATATTACTTGTCAGTTGATTCTACTTTGTTCAATGCGATAACCGCGTTATCGTGTTATATTGATGTTGCAATTTTTTGTAAATTTATGTATTTTTTATGAAATGACCTATAATTCCAATATATTTCGTGTACTGTACTGTTCGATTTATCATGATTATTACTATATCGAGAAGAAATCGATTCATAGATACACTCAACTAATGTTTAACAAATACTATTGCAAAAGCGAGAAAAAAAAAGTATAACAATAACTAAACAACCTATGGGTTGATACTTCATTTCATTTATTTTTAAAGAATGTCTCGATGATGACCAATAAAAATTGTATATAATATTGGCAAATATCTGCATTACATAACCTCTAAATGTTATTGCGATATTACTTAAGAAAAAACAAAAAAGAGAAAATAGTATAATTAGAAACAAGTAGCGAGAAAGATGTGTGACACGAAGAAAATTTAATACCTGTTCCTTCAGTGCCTCGGCCGTTATTTGATTTCCACTTTTCATCTTTGAATTAGTTCTGTTTTACCGATAGGAATAAGACGTTACGACCTGTGACAACTGCTTCGAGCAACTGTTCAATACACGCAGATGTATGCTTTCTCATACATTATCGCAGGTAGTCTGCCAATGAACTTTGGATCAAAGGAAAAGAAATACGATTTGGTTCAATAATTTTAATTGGCCTTTGATAAACTGTTTTCTAGAAAGTATCCCACCACTCAAATTGTTAATCTTTCACGATTATATACCAGTTCCACTTTTTCCTCCATTCAGAAAAATTTCGGAACTCTGCTTAGCAAGCTCGAGATAAATATTCGGGCATTGAAGTTTTATCATCTATAGAGTATTCCAAAAGAGGAACACCTAATTACTTCCTTTAGTTGGAAAATGGTTTCAAGATCATTGCAGTTGATTCCTAAAGTTCCGTACAAGGAATTGCAGACTCTTTTCTTCTGAGTATCACAATCGATGCTGATTAACATTCGACCACCCTGGTTCAATGTGAATTTTAATTAATAATTTAAGAAATAGAATATAACCTCTGGGTTCTTTCTAATGATTATGGAGAAATGCGATTTTACTGTAGGGGACACACAGCGGACAGGTCAATTTCCCAAACGCAGTCCTTTTATTACAAGCTCATGTATACCTTATACCTGCAAGCAGCGTTGTACGAAAAGAATAACGGGCCTTCGAATTATGACTTACAGGGTATTTACCTGAAACTTAAAGTACGCAGGAGGCTATTATTCCTCCGAGTCGAAAACTCGTTTTCACCGGCTCCTTTATTTCTAAGCTGCCTCATTGTCGATACGAGGGCCTCTTAAAATTTACTCGACCAACTCGAAAACCCATTTATTATAGTCTTGTAATAATTCATTTTGCAGGCGTTTCAATTATACTAGAATTATGGAAGTAGGCTAATTGTCAGATATGTATTCGTGTTTAATTCAATTTGTAACTATTTTTTAAATATACTTTCTACATTATTCTAAAGGAAATTTGTATAAGACGAAAAAGATTTAATCTTCATTGAATAAACTAATCATAGAGTTCAAACTAATCATACATTTTGATCGTCAAATTAAGCGTGAATCTAATTATGTAACTACCTGTTGCATCTCCATTGGTCTGATACGCTTGTAACGTGAATTTACTGGTAATAATCTCGATTGCAAATTAGTTTTGCACATCAAGACAGTATGAAATGGAAATATTAAGATTTTCAATCATCACCTTGGAAACGGAGAATATTTTACCTGCAAATTCGTCACTTGGCTGCCCATTGACCTTATCTGAAGTTGAAAATACGCTCCAGGTAGGATAGGCCCATTGAAAACGCCGCTGTGACGCGGAACCAGCGATTTATTTGAGCCATAGGATTTCGCCAGGAAATGCACGATGTTTATTGTCGAAGGGTACCGAATGGTCCCAATGGATAAGGCAACCTAACGGTTAAAGTGTATAATTATTTTCTACGGGGGACAGGTCTGTCCATGCAATTTATGGAAAAGCTTCCTACACGCTGCCAGCCTCCTCCTACCTGCGACACTTGAAAATAAGTATTAATATACGTGGAATATTTTCATTAATAATAATAACTCCTTGCGATTGTTGTACAGTGTCAATAATGATAACAAAATTCGTGCTCAATTTATGATTTTCTTACATATACAAACTGATGGATGAAATTCATGAAAAAAAAATCAAACAAAATTGAAACGCTTCAGAAATGATAGGTGGAATCTTTCCACTCTGGTTATGTAATCATCCTAGCCGAGTATCACATATTTTTTTATCTAAATTGAAGATCAAATTGTTTAATACTGGACATCCTACGTATGTATAATTTAACCACCTTCAATTTTTACCAGTGATTCGTTTTAAAATGTATAATAGTTTTTCATCGTGTTCCTTTTTTTTTTCCATCTTTAAGCTTCAAATAATTTCATCTACACATTAACACCTAATAATTGTTGATACTTCCCGCTTTTCCAACATCTACACGAAGAACTGATTCATAGTTTTTCCTTCCAATTAACACCCCGGCTTAATGGTTGACACCATCGTTGCCGCGTTATCGATAGCTATCAACAGGCGAAAGTTTACCAGTGGCGATTGAAGACAATGATGTCTTTGCATAACAGTAATCGCACTAATGTGCCGCGAATTCGATTCGAGCGGTAACGATAACTCGAATCGAAACGAGCATTTTTCCACGAGCCGCGATGAAATTCGATCGTGACCATTGCCCGTAGAACAAAACGTATCACTGAACGTCATCAATTGATTAAATACATGCATATAGAAATATATATATACATATATAAACGAGCAATCCAGTTTTGTTACGCCGCCGAAATACGTCGTAACATAACGGAAGAAGAATTTGACACAGAAATTCTGTGGTAGGAGCACGAATTCGTGGTGCAACCTCCCGTAGCGGTGGAATTACGTAAAACCCCGGCAAATTATTGAAAATTAAGGAAGCCGCGTTTGCGATGTCAAATCAGAGTCGCACAAAACAACACGCGACAACGACAGAGTACTCTCGCGTTTATGATCCGTATAGAGGAAGTTTATGAAGTACAAATAGAAGGTTAAGCGGGTAACGGAAATTGTAAAAAAAAAAAGAAAAATGAGACCATCACAGTAGAAATATAGATTAACAAAGTAAACAGGTTGCAGAAATGTTCAAATTTTTTAATTTCTAAATTAATAACTCTGTCTGAGAACAAATATACCTAGAAAATTGAATATCTACAAAAACGACTAATTTGTAAAGGCTCATTTTTATTAAAAATTTCTTGCTGCTTCTAAGCATTTCCTTCCTAAATTTTTATATACAGTCTATATATATTCTCACAATTGAAAAACATTTTTCATTGCAGTAAAGAACTCATTAATCATTTTCATAAATTTTAGTGCAAACATCAGCAAAAACGGTTGTATAATTAGTATTTTATCCCAACAGCATACGCATGGCATTTGTTTGCGGCAGAACGAATACATATTCAGCAGTTTTGCAACAAAAATCGCTGCGGGATACCCTGGGTTCTGCGTATCTCGAGAAAATGGTTATGGTCAAGCCAGCAGGGGTGGTTAGATCCTCGAAATTCGGTGTCCTTTCCCGTTGTCCCATGGAAGGGATGTACCTGGCTTCCCCACTTACTCTCACCTGCCGACCATTTAAATAGCCAGGCTGGATAACCGATGTCATCAGTCATTCCATAGTCAGTTTCGGGCGTGTTTCGTTGTTCGTTACGCTTTTCGCGTGATCTGTAATAAGTTGAATTTTTCTTCCTCTCTTCGTGCTTCTGAGCAATGTCTTGAGGAACCTTATCGAAGAGTGACGTTAGCTGGTGCGTGTCCAGTCCTAGCTGCTGAAACTGAAGAATGTACAAGAAGTTGTATATGAAATATTTTCCACGTGAGTGAAATATCTTTCAAATTCTATTTATCTTGCAATAGAAATTAGAAATTCGATTTTCTTTTGAATAATTTTAAACGGTTAAAATTGGAACAACGAGTAATTGGTACCAGAATTGATAGCAGCAACTTGCCGAATTTTCAGCGGCCGTCGACTCAGCCTCTAGACTCCTCGGCATAGTTTTCGAATCAGCCCGTTATTTAACCTTGTTAGACGATGATCACTTAGACTGCTTAGCTAATTTTCTTCCGCGGTAACTCCTGATTTCAACGCAATGAACGTTTATCCTTGTTCCTGTTTGAATTCGAATTTTTTCTTTAATATACATTCCTCGACCTCTTGATGATGTGTTAAGAACGCTCGAAGTCTCTATAGACTAACCCGTTTTTTTTTCTTCCTTTGATATTACATTGAAATCAGCTATTTTCCTGTCGATATGAATTCGTTCGGTCGGTTCGAGTGACCAAAGGGAAACTAACTTCTCGTTCGTAATAGTGCACGGAACGGGAGTAGCATTGGTAATCGAAGCGGTAACAATTTCGTAAATAACAGCATACTGTAACGATAGTTTGTAAATACGGCGGAATGCTTGGAAAGTGGTTGGGAACTTTCTTTGAAAGACACACTGTGTGCTAGGTAATGAGTCTTGTAGGAAAGTTTCTTACAGTGTTGCAGCAATGGCTATTTCTCCCGCGTTCTCCAATATAGAAAGTTACAAAATTCTATATTTTTCTGTTTGTAAAATATTTCACTAAGATCGTTTTATTCCAAAAAAGAAAAACAATGATATTTTCCATTTGCATATCGATAACATGTTATTTCGCACTCATGCGAATGAGTTTAGTTTGAAGTCGAAATAAAACAAATCAGTTTTTGAACGATCGAACAATCATGGTTGGCATGGTGATCTATCAAATTTCCATCAGTTGGTGTTTAGTTAGATAGTTGTCTTCACGTTTTCTTTATTCCTTCTTCTCGCGTGATGTTTATTCTCAAATCTATCTCGGAAAGATGCTCTGGTATATCCGGGTTCTTCAGTAGCTCTGATTCGCTATTTTGGAAATTACTGAGTAAGTGAAAAATGTAATGCGCGAATAACGAAATTTGTTGCTCAATATCATGTCGTAATTCATTCTTCATACATCACATATTTTATGGAAAAAAAACATCGCATAAATGAAACAGTGGAAAGCACTGTTCCCCAAGCATCGAACTCACCAAGTATTCTTTCATTTTACAGGATGGATCCCTACGAGAGTACTGATCTGCTTGATGATGTTCACGGCATGTTGGACCAATTACATGTGCCGTTTACAAATGCCAATCCTTGCTGTACCGATGATAAAAGCTCTGCCAGGTAACGCTACCGGAGGTGTGTGCAGGACAGAATCATCTCGGGCTCGTCGTGCACTCGCCTGGTTGGATCCTGGCGCTTGGTTGGAGGATCAAATTCTGGCTGAAAAATTAGAAGCAGCTGAGGCGGTTGTGAATCCAGAGGCACATAATATTCGAGTGCAAAGGGAGACAGAAGCGCGAGAAACTCGCAAATCAGGAGGCAGTATACAGCTGTTTAATGGTCTGCCTTTCGACTGGTCTACCAGCGTTCGAGGGCAGCTGATCGCTGCTTACAGCTATGGGAATGTTCCTGGCAATTTTCTGGGTGGTGTAATGGCTCTGAAGTGGGGAGCGAAGCGTGCGATTCTCTGGACATCAGTGATAGCATGTTTGGTGTCTCTGATCAGTCCTATCCTTGCACAACTCCACTGGGGCGTACTTTTAGTCTCCAGAATAATAATTGGCGTAACTGGTGGTGTGACTTTTCCAGCGTGTCACACTTTGGTCGCGAAATGGGCTCCTCCTGACGAGAAAGCTCGTTTCGTTTGGTCTTTGCTGGGTGGTACATTTGGTACTATTCTAACATATCCTATGGTAGCTGCAATCGCGGAGAAAACGACTTGGGAAAGCGGCTGGTACATCCCTGCGTTGATGATGATGATCTGGATTATTTTCTGGGCTATACTGGCATACGACTCGCCTGAGGAACATCCTGGTATCTCTGAAGAGGAGAAGCAGCTTATCCTAACGTGAGTGTGGAAAAGTTATCTATAAGAGTTTGAAAGTAGGAAGCTGATTACTAGATAAATAGGATAACAGATTACTCTGCATTATTAAAAATTTGTTTAAATAACTTTTAGCGCGCAGGAGGGCACAGTGAGGAGCGAGAAGCCTACGTTCAAAGAAACACCTTTGAAAGAAATATTCACTTCCATTCCGTTCATCAGTTTGGTCCTTTGCCACTTTGGAAATATGTTCCTTCTGTTCTTCTATCAGAACTCGATGATGTTGTATCTTACGAAGGCTCTTGGATTCGAGTTGACCAAGGGAGGAATAGCAGCTGGTCTACCATGGGCTGGAAGAATGATTCTTGGATTTTTCTTTAGCTGGGCCGGTGATATGATGAAAAGGAAACAAATTGTTTCTATTACCATACTTCGTAAGGGCGCTACTATATTCTGTAAGTATTTTCTACTTAAATATACATTTTAATCTAATTTTATCGTGAATGTCTATTATGCAATTAACATTTTATTGTTCTTCTGTTCAGCTCATCTTCTTCCTGGTATCTTCCTCATCCTAGTTGGCTACGTTGGATGCAGATTCGTCCTGGCTAATGTGTTCCTAGTGTTAGCACTTGGTTTCAACGGAGCGGCGAGCATCTCGAATTTATCCAACAATCAGGATCTTTCGCCAAACTTCGCTGGTTTCCTATACGGTATCATGAATACAATTGGTTGTACTTCAGGCATGATCATTTCACCTTTGACAGAAGAGATAGCCGGAAAATATGGGGTAAGTACCTTTCTATTTTTCTCGTGATTCTCTGTGCACCTTCACGGCTTTGCTTTGCATCCGCTTATCAGCTTTACTATGCTATAGTGGTAACAACAACAACAACAGCAGCAGCAGCAGCAATTTCTGTGGATTATCATCCATACGTTATGAATTAATTCCATAAATAATTACATAATTTTTTGTTTGTACACTCATCGTTGCGATAAAGATAGAACGGATATCTTGTTACAGGCTGATCGTAGAGGTGCTCTTGGCATATTCGAGACCTCAGTCCAGCCTTGTACTCTGTTGCATAACTCATAGTACGGGCAGTACTGGGGAATCGTGTGTGCGATGCATCCGAAATGAAACCGCTTTTTCTAACCATTCACAATAATTTCACTTCAGTCGTGCCTAGGATTTCACCTCAATTTACACGCTCTATTTTTATAATCTTACATTATGCCTGCGTGGATGTTCTTAAACGTGTTTCTTAGAAACGATATACATATATAACGCATCGCATGTAATTTTCGTATCATGTGCAGATGTACAAAGTATCAATTAATATGTCAATATCAAGATGCTGCATATTGACGCGAGAAATCGCAAAAGATCTCGTCTAAAAGCTAAACCTACTCACATCCATTCAGATTGTCGTGGTGGTGATGACTCGTGGGTACTACTTGTCTCTATATCATCGAATTTATAGTACGAGAAGTACCCACAAGTCACATCATCCTTTATCCGCTTGCGATGCAGTATCACACGTACACCCATCATCCAATGTGTTTCGTCATTGTCATCGCTCTTAACTACATTGTACACTCGTATGGGTATGTGTATTATGACGTATAATTTGTGTTGCTTACTACATAACGCTTGTGCTTTTACATGTTATATTTTTCATGAATTACTACACACTTTAATAATTTAATAATCATTTCTTAACAATTGTCTTGATTGATATATATGTAATACGTGTTTATTTATTATTTCCTTGTAGAATCCTATTGACAGATGGCAGACGTTGTTCTGGATCGGTTCAGCGGTGTGCATAGTTTGCATGATCATTTTCTTATTCGGCGGAAGCGGAAACATCCAACCATGGAACGAAATTAAACCGCAGAGAGATGAAGAGCGTGCAAGGAATTAATAACTGGTGAAGACTGGAATTTTTGTTGACGTTCTGTGAAACGAAGAAGTTTGAAAAGCTAGTATTAAGGAATAAATTGTGAGTTACACGTTACGAACTTTCACTTCAATGAGAATTAGGATTGTCAATTTTACCGTCAATATTGATCGGGACGTTGACGATGTATTATGTATCGTGAAACGAAGAATAGTGCAAATATATTTTATAGATTTACCACGACACGAACATGTTTTATGTTCGTGAAAATTATAGCGCGACACTCGTTGGTCTTAGAATTTTCCAAGCGACGAATTTTGTACACTACATAAAATTCCTTTATTTTATATACGATTTAGAATGTTACGAAAAATATGATTATTGAACGTTTCGGTATTAAATAAATATATCTAAACAAAATCCAAAATTTACTTTCCACTTTACCTTTTTGTTAAATAGAAGATATTCATTTAGAAAATAAAAATAAAGTTTTAAAAGTACTCATGCGTGAAATTAAAATATAATATTTATTTTCTGATATAATTGAATATCTTATATAACTATCGGTGTCACATTACATAACGCGTACCGTACTTTGATTAAAGTAGAAATTCTTGCTATGTAATTGAGTATACATTATCTTGTCTAAAGATATCAAATTTTTGTATTCTAATTATTGAATAACATTTCGAATTTTTACAATGCTATAATTTTACAAAAAGAGGAAAAAGAATAAGTATTGCAAAGCGTACGCGCAGTATAAAACAGAGTCCACGTTTATTTTATAATACGTTTTATTCGTTTACTATACATTTATAATCACAAATACTTTATTTTAAGATGTTAATTTTTTTTAAATTACACTTACTAGTTAGTCGATGTTATTTCATAAGAATACCTAGTGTCAACGACTTGTCTTTCGGTAAAATAAATGAGTTCATCTCTATACGTAAAAAGGAAATATACCTGGATTAAAATATTTTGCAGACTTAGTAGCTAGCATTTTTAACAACGATAAAGCAACATTCTCTGCGCACACTTCATTCCAATCAAACTAGCATACTCTTTGATCTCATCTTCCTCTTGAGGCGTAACAGTTTGACGGTATTCCTTTTTGTAGATTTCGTAGGGCATCGCAACTTGGCGATACAAAACTAATACCTTAAAGTAAATAAGATTTATTAATTAAAAAAAAAAAACATTTAATTTCGTCAAAATAATTTCGCTTATTACCTTACGAACATCTACTATGCCATCTTCATCGATAGCATCAATATCATCGTTGAATCTACTATATTTTTCTTTATCTAATTTCAATAAACAGGGTTCTATATCGAACCAAGCATAAGTTTCGGGACATAATAGTTTTGACGGCTTTAGTCGTGCCTTGTACCGCATTTTGGGGCATGTGTGTATATAGAATCCCATGTAGTAATACTTCAAATCTTTTGCTACTTTATTGAACTGCCTTGTTAAGTAAACTTCTCGTAGGGAGCTGAATGAGATATATAAGTTAACAATAGTTTATTATACACTGTATGTAATTAAAATTTGTATCAACCTAAATGTTCCTAAAGAGAGATAGGAGTAGGCCGGATCGTAAAAAAAGTAAACGCTGGAAATACAAGACGGTAAAATGTCTATCACTCCAACTGCAATTAATTCATTATCTAACCAATATTGCTCATGAAA